TGCTGGCAGTTGCTTGGAGACCCCTCTTCCTCCTCACAGAGCTACGGTTCCCAGAGTGGTTTAACAATATATTCCCTGGAAGTAAAAAGGTAAAGGGACCCCTGACCATTAGGTCCAGTCATGGCCGACTCTGGGGTTGCGGCGCTCATCTCGCTTTATTGGCTGAGGGAGCCGGCGTACAGCTTCCGGGTCATGTGGCCAGCATGATTAAGCCGCTTGTGGCGAACCAGAGCAGTGCACGGAAACGCCGTTTACCTTCCCTCCAGAGCGGTACCTATTTATCTACTTGCACTTTGACATGCTTTCGAACTGCTAGGTTGGCAGGAGCTGGGACCGAGCAACAGGAGCTCACCCCGTCGCGGGGATTCGAACCGCCAACCTTCTGCTCAGCAAGCCCTAGGCTCTGTGGTTTAACTCACAGAGTTCCCTGTAATTCTGAGAACTGTAGCTCTGCGGGGGGAAGAGCTAACAACTTTCAGCACCCCTTAACAAACTGCAGCTCCCAGGAGTCATTGTGGGAAGCCACGACTGTTTAAAGTGGCATCATAACATTTTAACTGCACGGTGTGACTGTGGCCTCTCTCCATGCACAGAGTGCAACAGGATACTCTGTTCCTGGGAGGTCCTCTTGACAAATCTATACGCTTTCCCTCCACATACACGCCACCCATCATAAATGTGGGTCTTTTATTAGTCACTATATAAACGCCAGGTGCTCTTTGTTCCAGGTCTATGTTTGAGCTGGTAACAGGTGCAACGATAAAAATGAAATACACAAAAGAAGATCAGCAGTGCAGCAGGTATCTTTATCCCCAGACTGTCCCATAAAACCAGCATCCCGAGCGGCCTGTGTCCAACCTCTCCCAGGCCCACTGCAAGACTGTTTCCAGTGCCGCTCAACTAAAAGGCTCCAGCTTTTAGGAGTACAAATCATCAGTTATCCAAGCTTATATTTGACAAATTAAATTGCTCGGAATTAAAAAAAGCTGTAGATCAATACAATTTGAATGATCAATTAATCATTCCCTTTAATTAAAACCAGCAAATCCCAGTGCATTTCATTTACATTTTATTACACTATTTCTAAGCGGCAGCTTTTAGGCAACGATATCGATTGGAGCCATACTCTCCGTACCTGGGGATCAAGTAATTTATTAATCAGCAGCACACACCTCGCTATAGGATATATTGTTTAATTATCATAGGCCGCTGCTCAGCGAAGCCTTAGACTGTGAATTAACTAAGATATCAATGCCTCGCAATGCTAGTATGTGCTGATTGTTGATGGCGGCAAATGCAGTTCTCAAGGATGAAATCTGGGGGACGGTAGGGCGGCAATCAGGCAGACGGTGGAGTCTGGCTTGTTTTTAGGGTTGGTATCCAGTCGTAACAGGTCCCATCAGTGGAAGGGTTTCAGTTTGCAGAATGGGTCCTTGCCCCGCTCCTTCCCCACGTCTGCTCCACACCCTCCCCAAATCTGCTCTGGAGCATCTGAGGAACCCCTAGAATAGATTCAGGGGGGATGCAGCAGAAGAAGAGGAATTAAGTCCTATTGAACAAGTGAAATTCAAAGTACTCTGGGAAGGGGAATTGATTGTTAAATCACTCTGGGAATCAGTTTTGGGAGCTGAAGAGGGGTCTCATAACAATTCTTTTTTAAAAATAATGTTATTTATAATTTTCATTTATAGCAAATAATCTTTTCAACAACAAAAACAGACAATTCTTACATATCAAACCTTGACTTCTCTCTCTGCTTTCAGAGATTCCATGAATTTACCCTTTTTCTTTCTTCTGAATATCCCAATTAACTCTATTTATTCTTTTCCTCATCTATTTCATATATATTTTAGAAACTGCAAGTTTTTAACAATAATCCTGCTAATTTCTTAATGGGTATACAATTTGTTTGTAAATATTCAATAAAGGATTTCCATTCCTTAATAAAGGTTTGTTGTCTTGATTACTTATTATTCCAGTAAGTTTCGCTATTTCTGCATAATCCATCCATTTCCGTAGCCATTCTTCTTTCGTCGGGACTTCTTCTTCTTTCCATTTTTGGGCGAATGTCATTCTTGTAGCAGTAGTTGCATACATAAATAAATTTCTATATTGTTTAGGTAACTCTGATCCCATAATTCCCAAAATAAAAGCATCTGTTTCTTTCTTTCTTTGTTTGTTTACAAAGGGTCTCCTAACAATTTGTAGCATCTTTAGCTAATTACATTTGCTAGAACTCTTTGGGGAGCTATGACTTTTTAAAGTGATATCATAGTGTTTTAAGCATATGGTGTGAATGTTACCACCGTGTCCTTGACTACAACACCAGTTCAAATTCCCCTTTACAACTTCCTGAGTTCCTTGTGAGGAAGTATTGATTGTTAAACCGTTCTGGGGATTGCGAGGGGAATAGGTAAAGGTAAAGGTACCCCTGCCCGTACGGGCCAGTCGTGTCCGACTCTAGGGTTGTACGCCCATCTCGCTCTAGAGGCCGTGAGCCGGCGCCGTCCGAAGACACTTCCGGGTCACGTGGCCAGCGTGACAAAGCTGCAGCTGGCGAGCCAGCACCAGCGCAGCACACGGAAATGCCGTTTACCTTCCCGCTATAAAGCGGTCCCTATTTATCTACTTGCACTTTGATGTGCTTTCGAACTGCTAGGTGGGCAGGAGCTGGGACCGAACGAAGGGAGCTCACCCCGCCGCGGGGATTCGAACCACCGACCATACGATCGGCAAGTCCTAGGCACTGAGGTTTTACCCACAGCGCCACCTGCGTCCCTTGCGAGGGGAATAGGTGACCAGAATTCTTTGGGCAAAGTTCTGACTGTTTACAGTGGTATCATAATGTCTTAAAAGTATGGTGTGAACATGGCCACAATGTGGTAAATGTGTTTTTGACTATGACATCAGTGAGGCTCGAACCCTTGAGGTCCTTGAACCAGTCACCCTCTCTCTCCTGGCCAAACCAGGGGCGCTGTCACGAGCTCCTTAAAGAAAGGGCAGGATAACAACGTAAGGAAATAAAGAAATATATAGGGCAGTCCCTACAGCACTAAGTGGGATGGAATTTCACTCTCCTTGTTTCCCCACAGAACAATTGTTTGGAGACATGGGAAGTAGCCAGTCGGCTGCTGCATGCATGTAGTCGTACCGGGGCTAGAGATTTTATTTTCTATGATAACTGCAGCAGAACCATTTATGTGCCCTGCTAATCGTCAGTGATGAGAATGAATTTCTCAGGGATTGTTTGACCTCTAACGGGATCCAAAAAGAACATGAGGAATACAGGGGAACAAACTGAGGTGGGGGTGGGAGAGAATCAGACGATGGCGACAAGCAGAACTAATGTGTTGTAAAAGAGAGCGCTTTTGAACATGGTGTACAATGCATGATTTACAACTATTTTTCTTATGATAAATTGGAAAATTATCACTGACCTTTTCCTTTACTTGAAAGTGGCATCTTAAGAGCTAGAGAGGTAGTGGGAGGGAGATAAGTAAGGGATTTTTTAAATGATTGTTTTGGGGAAAAGAGTATGCCTGGAGGAAATAAAAACGTTATATTAAACAGGGGAGATTTATTACTTTGTTAGGATAAAGTTGTTTGAGGTCTTAAAATACAGTTGAACCAACTGCAATGGAAACATTCAAGTATCTGGACAACTAGTTTTCCGTATCATTACAGGTTTGACTGATAAAATAGTTATGCTGGAATATTGTCTTCCTTGGAATACCAAGCAAGAAGTATACCAAGACTCTGTACTCCTAAGGCCTTAGTGAAGGAAATTCATTGCACCCTCAGATGCATTTCTGCACACCCATCACTGGTGAGCACTTGCTCCAGTGAAGTCTCCCCTTTGGCCTTGCTGCTTTGCATGACTGTGATACACAACACCAAGCGAGATGGGAAAGATGGAGGGCACAAGGAGAAGGGGACGACAGAGGACGAGATGGTTGGACAGTGTTCTCGAAGCTACCAGCATGAGTTTGACCAAACTGCAGGAGGCAGTGGAGGACAGAGGTGCCTGGCGTGTTCTGGTCCATGGGGTCACGAAGAGTCGGACATGACTAAATGACTAAACGACAACATTAAATACACACATAGTATTAATTCCACCTGGAGCAGGAACCGGCAAGCCACTCCAGTATCCCTGCCAAGAAAACTCCATGGGCATTGTGTTCTCGAAGCTACAAACATGAATCTGACCAAAGTGCGGGAGGCAGTGGAAGACAGGAGTGCCTGGCGTGCTCTGGTCCATGGGGTCACGAAGAGTCGGACACGACTAAAAGACAAATTAATTCAGCCCTTGCAATTGTAAGCCACACACCCTTTCCCTCTTGGTATGTTTTATTACCGACTCAGGAAATTGCATGGCTGCATCCTGTACCGGTATATTGGACTTCGAGTGTCGGACGAGGACCTGGGAGAGACGAGGGTTGAAATTCCCCTGCAACTGGCCAAGAAGCTCACTGGGTGTGACCCTGTGCCCATCACTCGGCTTCTCAGCCTAGCCTACCTCACAGGGTTGTTGTGGCAATTAAACATGCTACCTTGAGCCCATTGGAGGGAACAAGCAGTATATACAGTATATAGGCAATTGTGACAATTCACCCTTAAAGAACACCACCAATTTCATTTCATTTCCCCCGTTAATATTATTAATCATTTTATTATCATTATCATTTATATTTATGAAAAGTTGTTTTTATTAAAATTCAGTAAAAAGTATTTAGAGAGAGAAGAAAAACAAGTCCCCTTCCCACCCTCGGCTAGGGTCGCCTGCGCAGGCGCAACTCAAACTTCTTACCCCGTCCTCTATCATGCACGCAATGACGAAGGCGGCGACAGAGACTCCAACTCCTCTACGACCACGCCCCTTGGCCTTCTCGTCACCGCTCCAGCCACGCCTCTCCGTTCGCCCTCTTTCTCTCCGGATAGGAGAGGGAGGGGTAAGTTCCTCCAACGCGCCTGCGCCGTTCCTTCTACCGGCGTCTGTCGTCATCGCGTGTGCGCGTCGCACAGCCTTGACGCCGGACGCGAAGGTGACCGGCCGGAGGGGGAAGGGAGAGGAGAAGTTGACTCCGCCGTCGCCATGTTGTCCGTGGCCGCCCGCTCCGGCCCGTTGGCCCCTTACCTCTCGGCCGCCGCCCACGCCGTCCCGGGCCCGCTGAAGCCCCTGGCGACCGGGTTGGTTCCGGCGGCCTCGAAACTGCCGCTGGACCCGAAGCGGCCTCTGCTCTGCCGGGAGTCGCTGCAAGGCCAGGCCGCCCGTGGGGGGCTCGTCGCCACCGCCAGCCTCAATGGTGCGGGCGGGGAAGGAGGGAGGGGGGCGGTCGGCGCTGCTTGAGCAGGGCGGGGTATGGGGTCGCTTCGCTTTCTCTCTGCCTCCCCCCGTCCCTCTCCCGCTTCATTTACCGAGGTTTCCAGGGTGGCTCAGAGGCAGGACTGGAAGGCGTTTTCAGTGTCCCCTCTGGGCTTCATGAAGTCTAGGGAAGGTGACAGCAAAACGCCCGTCGTGCCTCATAGTAGTGGGCATGCAGTGTCGGGTAGAGGGCTGCCCCACTTCATTGAGTCATTGATTACATTTATATCCCACTTCCCCCCGCCCAGGAGATCAATGGGGTGTATGTGGTTCCCTTCCTTTCACATTTTATCCCCAGCACAACCTTGTGAGGTAGGCTAGGCTGAGAGGTGGTTACTGGCTCAAGGTCACCCCGCAAATTCCATGGCTGAGGGGGGGATTTGAACCCTTCTTGCCCAGGTCCTAGTCCAGTACTTTAACCCAGACTTTCTCAACCTTGGGCCCCCATGTGTTGTTGGACTACAACTCCCGTTATCCCCACCTAGTAGGACTAGTGGTCAGAGATGATGTGAGTTGTAGTGCAACGACATCTGGGGACCCAAGATTGAGAAAGGCTGCTCTAACTGCACCACGCTGGCTCTCATACACCTTTAGGCTGAAGGGTACTTACCTGATTCAGATGCTGCGGTGTACAAAACAGTTTCCCCGCACACAAGTCAGGCTTCTCCTGGCTTTCTATACTAAGGGAGAACTTCCTGAATGGAGTAGTGCTGTGTCTGAACTGTGGCACCTCAAACTTCATATGCAAAACTAGTATGGCAGGGATTGGCCAGATCGCCTTCCTGAGTAGCAGTCCCCTAAACCTGGTGCCATCCAAATGTTTTTTGGACTACCATCCTTTGCTTGATAGTCATGCTAGTGGGGGTTGTGGATCAAAATATCTAAATGGCACCAGTTTGGCTTTGAGTGTTGGACTACGACTGGGGAGGCCCAGGTTCATATCTTCACACACCTGTCAAGTTCACTTGGTGACATTGGACAAGTCAACGTAAGCTGCGTTATACAGAGTCAGACTGGGTCCCTCTGATTTGGTGTTGTCTATACTTTGCTGGCAGCTGTTCTCTAGAGTTTCTATCTCTCAATCTAACCTACTTTGCAGGCTTGTTGTGAGGATGAAATGAGTTGGTATGGGGGGAAGTTGAGATATCTGTAATAAAAAGTGTGAGTTTTCTTTACACAGGGATTTATTATTTGCTTCATTAGGGCTGTCATGCTGAAGATGGAGGCTCACATTATTGAATGTTCCTTTGTACAGAACAGAAGTCCCTGCATGCAGGCTTGGTTGTAGCCTTCTACCTTGGTTTCCTGTTTGTGGGGAATATTCTTACATGGAGTATTATTTTCTGGCTTGTACTACTCCAAGACTGCATAATGGAACTTGCATGATTGACTATCCCCACCCTGGCAAAAAGACACAACCAAACCCTCTACCAAAACCTTAGGTATTAGTAAGAAATCAATATGGGGAAGGGACATTGTTAGGTGTAGAGCGTTTGCTGTGCATGCAGAGATTCAGTCTTTGGCTACTACCACTGAGTGAGATAGATCAAAAGTCTGACTCAGTACAAGTGTTTTCTTTGGAAGGAGTATTAAATCACACAAGTTTTTACCTGCAGCCTCAGAGGTGCACTCTAGAGCAGGGGTCAGCAACCCGCGGCTCCGGAGCCGCATGTGGCTCTTTTACACCTTTGCCGCGGCTCCGGGGCGGATACTAGCGAGGGGAGGAGGCGCATTGTGTCCCCACTCCCCACTGTTTTAAATGTTGCAATGGTTTTGCGGCTCCCAGTTGTTTTTTCTTTGGTCCAAGTGGCTCTTTTTGTTTTAAAGGTTGCAGACCCCTGGTCTAGAGAAAGATTTACCATATTAAGAGTTATTCCTAAAATGGGAGTTGGAAAGGGTTGGACTTGTATAGTGTAAGGATTGTATCTGTGTTTTATCTGTGGCCCCAGCATAATGCTTGCCACCCCACAGGTTCCCTGTTAGCTGGTTCTGCATCACATATCACCAGGGGGTAGAGTCTTTTTTCTCTCACTGTTGCAGGATCACGAAGTTCAGCCCTTCGCTTTTCACTCCTCTGGAGAAACTAACCTTTCACTTGCATAATAGGAAGTAAGAGCTATACTTGGGGATGCTGTTCGTATATAGGCTGAATTTGTTCCTTTTCCCAAATTGAAAATTGGGAGTGGGGTGGAATGTTGGAGGTTGACTTTTTTGTATAGAAGAGCCCTGCTGGATCAGAGAGCATCATTTCTAGTCCAGTATCCTCTTTGCAACACTCTCCAGCCAGTAGGACTTGATGAAACAGTACACACACTGCCCCAGTTGTTTGTTTCCAACTGGTAGTTTTCTAGTTTATTGTTTTATGTATTTAAAATGTTTATTTTAGTTATTTAAAATATTTTATTTATTTAACATATTCATTGATTAAAATATTTATATACCACTGTTTCATTTAAAAAGTCAAAGCACTTTACAACAGTAATACATATGTACAATAAAAGCATGTAGATATTTAAAATCAGATTATCAGTTATTGCAGAAAGATGTTTTCTTAATTGACTATATCATAATCCTGGCAGGAAAGAAAAGTTTTCAGCAGATGTTTAAAGGTTAAAACAGAAGGTGGCTGCTGAATTTCTTTTCAAGGGACTGGGCTGATGACACTAAAGGTTTGGTTTCATGTGTGTGTCAGATGAGCCTTACCAATTGTCTTTCACTTGAAATCACAAGGTGGTGTTTAGTAAAATTACAATACAAAAAGAAGCAGCAGCCAATGGGTCAGTGGAGGCCTATTAAATGTGATCAACTGATACCCATTAGCCAGCAAATAAAGTGAATTCTAGTTTATAAAAGGGCAGGTGCTAAGTTGTGGGACTGCTTGGAAGCTGTGGCAGTTATAAAAAAAAATCTGATACAGTATTTTCAGCATAGACCCAGTTTGGGTTATTTGCTACAAGGTTAAAATGTAAATATCCCATTTATTATGGGCCAAGTATAAAGGGGAGGATAATATGCTACTAGAGGGAATTGCAGAAATGGTTTAAAATTTCTTTAAAAAATTGTGTTACTTCATTAGCTTTTTATTGGATGCAAATAGTCTTCTGTTTAACTTTAGACCTTGAAATTAAGTGTGTATTAGCTTGTCCTGAAAATCTTAACACAACCTTCATTTAATTTCTAAGGAAGCAGTCTTAAAAAAAAAAAACTTATTATAAAGAGATGCTCTTATCCCTTCATTAGTTCAAGCTTGTTGCAAACACTTATTGTAATCTCTGCACAATGTCCCAAGAGATCCTAATTACCTTGAGCTTGATTCCTGAAGCCCTTAGTGTTATTGCCTTGCATTCTTACGAAGTCACATTTTTATGAAGTGCCCTCATTTCTTAAAAAATAAACAACTTACTGAAGGTGCATGGTATTGAGCTGTTGTGTCTTAAAACAGTTACATATACAGTACTCTAGTCAAAATAATTTTCCAAATACTCCTTTGGATTTGACTGAGTTATCATGCTAAATGAACTTTGTTGAATCCCGCCCCATCAGATATTTTAGCTTAACTAATTCCTGCAACTGGAAAAAGTTGATAATATTTTCATAAGCGACATGAAATCAACTATCCAGTTTGATTTACCAAATATGTCAAGCATACAAAATTGAATTTGAGTCAGTTTGCATTTGGAAGCTTTCTTATTCAAAGTTTTCAAAAAAAACAACAACTAATATTACTGCATCTAAAAGAGATACTAATCCTACTCTAAACTTTAGATGTAATTTCATAGGCTACAATGTAGCTAATGATGCCAGCATAAGTTCACTTGTTTGCTTGGCTAAATGTAAATCAAGGTACTTTGGTTTAACTGGTTTGTAGATTAGGCCATAGAATTCCCCATAAAATGTAGAGAAATCTTCTAAATTTGTCAATTAAAAGTGTCTTTTAAAATTTAATCAAGTTCTAAGGTTGCCATATTTTGAAGAGCAAAAAAGAGAATACAGTTGCTGACTTCTACTTTTAACTATGAATCGCTATGACGACACTCATTTTACATACTCATGAAAAAGAGGACAACCCTATAAAGGGCTACTGGAATGGGTTTAACAAAACACTTTGGAATATTAGGGATTTCTTTACAGCATACAAAACACACCAGATTTCTCCCCCTTACTCCAATATACAGTGGTACCTCGGGTTCAGTACTTAATTCGTTCCAGAGGTCCGTACTTAACCTGAAACTGTTCTTAACCTGAAGCACCACTTTAGTTAATGGGGCCTCCTGCTGCTGCCACGCCGCCAGAGCCCGATTTCTGTTCTTATCCTGAAGCAAAGATCTTAACCTGAAGCACTATTTCTGGGTTAGTGGAGTCTGTAACCTGAAGCGTATGTAACCTGAAGCATATGTAACCTGAAGCGTATGTAACCCGAGGTACCACTGTAATCATATTTGTGTTCTTTTCTGGTTTTTACTATCATTTGATGACAATTTATAGGCTTCCCAGCCAGGAGATAATAGATTTTCATGTATAATTGCAGGAAGAAATAAATGGAATGCCTGCACCTCCATAAGGTGATTTAGTTCTTGTATGGAACTTATATGAAAATCAATAGTTAAATGTTCATGATAGTTAGTGTAGTACCAAAAATATAAATTTTATGGTGTCAGTCCGGTACCAGTATAATGTCCTGTAATTTTAAAAAAATCAGTAATTGGTTTTCTCCATTCTTTTGCAGCTCCTGCTAGCATTCGTTACGTCCACAATGATGTCGCTGTGCCTGACTTCTCTGACTACCGTCGTCATGATGTAACAGATGCTGCAAAATCATCCCAAGAGAGCAGTGAATCCAGGAAAGTCTTCTCCTACTTTATGACAGCAACAACCTGTGTGGCGACAGCATATGCTGCTAAGAATGCTGTCACTCAGTTCGTCAGCAGCATGAGTGCTTCTGCTGATGTGTTGGCATTGTCGAAGATTGAGATCAAGCTCTCCGATATTCCTGAAGGCAAGAATATGACTTTCAAGTGGAGAGGGAAGCCTCTCTTTGTGCGTCACAGAACCGCAAAAGAGATTGAGCAAGAAGCTGCAGTATCTTTGACTGATTTAAGAGACCCCCAGCATGATTTAGACCGAGTAAAGAAACCTGAATGGATCATCCTGATCGGTGTTTGCACCCATCTTGGCTGCGTACCCATTTCAAATGCTGGGGAATTTGGTGGCTATTATTGCCCCTGCCATGGGTCGCATTACGATGCGTCTGGCAGAATCCGCAAAGGTCCAGCTCCATTAAATCTCGAGGTTCCCTACTATGAATTCCCTTCGGAAGATTTAGTTATTGTGGGTTAAATTTCTGGATGCCTGGCTCTTTATTTCCTGTATGTATGCAGAGGAACGAGGCTGGTGTTCATGTAATGTATTTAAAAAAAAAAAATGAGTGGAAAGTATGGCTAACTGTCCCAAGTCACTGTTCAGATCTGATTGTTTGTGTACTTGGTCAGTTTTAATAAAGGATTAAAGTGCTTTCCCATAATGATGTGTAGCTTGTCTATAATTGGTAAAGCAATTGAATGTTTTCTAAGAGAAAATCAATACTTCTTAATAAAAAATAGTAAGCTTTTTGGATGAAAAGCTATGAACCAGACAACTGAGGTTTAGATGGGCCAGTTTGCACAGGAGTTTTTGCTTTATGTGTGAGCAGGCCCAGCCATCCTTGGACTCATACTGAGAATCTCATGAGATCTGATAGCTTGTTGGGTTGTTGTTTTAAAGCTATAGCAGAAGTAAGCTTCTAATGCCTTCCATCATTGTGTGTCCCTGGTGGAGGTTGCACTTGCACGAGCTGCTATATGATGACAAATACAATTTATTGACCTTGTGCTCTGACATCTTTAGCCTCCTGGATACATTTGGAGAGCTTAGGCCCCTCACCTTGACTGAAGAAATAAGAGAGCCCAACCATCTTCTGTTGTTATCAAATAAACAGCTAGGCCTTTCTCAGTCACTTTCCCATGGTAAGATAATGGACTCTGATTGATATGCCACTCATGGGTGATTATGGGACACACTGGGCTCCCATCATTGCAGTACTGTCTCTAGTTCCTGTTGATCTAATTGGCCATGCTGACTGGGGCAGATGGGAGTTGGAAGTCGAGCAATTGTTTGAGAGCTGCAGGACTCCCATCCCTGGTTGTAGATAGAGATCAGTGATCAGTTAGTCTTCCACATTTATGTTGGAGAAATAGAATGAAAAGATGTGGAGTAACATCTGGTCAATGCATCATTGTAAGTTTCAAAATACACAATGCAGTTCAAAAGCTAGCCAAACATGAGTGGTGGTGGTATTATTTTTAAAAAATAAAAATAAAAAATTATGACAGCCCTTTGGATTGTGATCATACTTTCTAGATTTGTGTGTTAATGAAACAGCCAAATCTGAAAGTAAATCTGGTCTTTGTCCAGGAACCTTTGAATTAAAATGAGGCAGCAGTTTCTGAGCACAGAAATGCCTTATCCTGCAAATATATTTTTTATTTTCTTAGAGAATTGTTCCTTCTCTTTTGAAGACTCACTGATTGATTCCCTCCCCACCGCACCCCACCAGGAAATAGAGATGTAACAACCACAACCCTTTTGCTTCAAGCACTGAACTTCTTACACGACATTAAAGGCATTGAGTGTGACACATGAAAGTAAAAGTTTGCATTTGTTTTTTCAGCTTTATTCCAGCTTACAAATGATGTATATGGTCAGCAAAGTGGTCAGTCAGAATACTAGGATACATAAAAATTCAACTTAAATACAAAAAGCACTGATGTCCCAGCTACACTGTACTTCCCAAAGCAAATCTTTGATCTCATGTAGGCTTCCCTGATGTGCATGGTGTCTGTGAACATTTCTGCACTTTGATTTTTCTGTCACCCAGTCTGTTCTACCAGCCAGTAACAATGATACATGGAATGTTGAGTTGTGACCCCGCCGTAAGGTGTTAACACATAATATAAACAGGTGTTAGAAATATTTGAGAAATATGCAGGCTAATAATATGTCTGCCCCCAAAGCACCACTTGGGCAGAGTGTCAAGCATTGGCATTACTCTAGAAAGTCAAGGTTTGGTTGGAAGTAAGCTACAACAAAACAATCCATGACAAACCATGCCACTTGCTTGTTTCTGCAAAATTGTGCCACGAAAATGAACAGAAGGACAGATTAATTTAATGGTGCAATTATAAATATCATCAACCAATCCCATGCACCTTGTGTTCTAACAAAGCTATTGTGGCCTGCCAAATACAGATTTTTTTTTCAGATCTGAACGAAGGTAGGTAAAATACAGAACACAATTCTGTATTTTGCACAAGAATTCTGCAAAATCTCGAAAAGACTAATCCTTTAGCAACTGCTTAGTATAATTATTTTAGGCCAAAATGTATTGTGGTTGCTTGCATCTATGTTGACATGCTACTTTTTTTTCCTTTTCATTAACTGGATTTAAAAAATTGTTCATTGGTTATAGAATGCTCTGGTGGATCAGAGAATCATAGACTTGTAGAGTTGGAAGGGATCCAAAACCTCATGTAGTTCAATCCCCAGCAATGCAGGAATCGCAGCTAAAAAGTCATTGACAGTTGGCCATCATCCCTATGTTTAAAAACCTCCAATTAAGGAGAGCCCATCGCCCTCTGAGGAAGCCCACTGTCAAAACAAGTCTGAATACCAGCAAGTTCTTCCTAATGTTTAGTTGGAATCTCTTTCCCTGTCATTTGAATCCATTGGTTCAGGTCCTACCCTCTGGAGCAGCAGAAAACAAGCTTGCTCCATCTTCCATGTGAAAGCCCTTCAGATATTTGAAGACTTGCTTCTGGCTACACTTACCCAATTCCCTCAACCATTCCTCATAAGGCTCGTTTTCCAGATGCTTTATCATCTTGGTCACCTTCCTTTGCATTCGTTCCAGCTTGTGTGCTTAAGGCATGAGGTAAATCCATTAACATTAAGTTCTTTTATGGTTGTTTTTAAGTAGACTACAAGGAGATTTGGAATAGCTCTTAATGCCAGAAATCTAAATGCCATTTAACTGTTTCTCCCCTACCCTGCCATGAAACTTTGAGAACTATGGTGGTATTAAAAGGGATTGGATATCCTGTAACAACATTCTGTAAAGTGCATTTCTTGGAGTTCTCCTATCTTCAAATTATATTTATAATAAAGATGCAGCCTTTGTCATGCTCAGAGTTTGATTAAAAAAGAACCCTCTAAAATCTAATTGTTTTCATATTTAAAAAACCCTCAGAATCCTTACGTACCTCTAGAAGCTAGCTAGTCATCTTGGATGACTTTCAAAGAGAATTGAACAAATTCATTGAGGATAAAGGCTACTGATGGCTACTAGCAATGAAGGCTATTGTCTGCATACTTGGCCAGAGGCTGTAATATTCCTGCACACCAATTGCTGGAAGCCGCAGGAGGGGAGCTGCTCCTGTGCTCAGGTCCTGCTTACAGGCTTCCAACTGGGGCATCTGATGGACCACTGGGAGTACAGGATAGTGGGCTGTTGGCCTGATCCAGCAGGCTCTTATGATGTTCTTTTGGTCCATTTGAGAGCCTGCCATAATGATAGCGGACCAAAACAGGTTGACGAAAAGCAAAGAACTTGTTATTGCACATTTAGTGAGCTGCTAATGTGAATCATTTCCCATTTTTGTTAACTGGCCTGCAGAAGAATGCTCTGCTAACTGTTACATTACCAAGATACAGACAATTAAGTTACATAAAGGAGATGAAAGGATAGCAGGGCTGAGGACCCAGACAGCAGCAGCACCCGGTGAAAGCCCAGGCTGACAATGGATAGGGGCCTCTCCACAACACGGTCCGAGATGCCATTAAAGTCAGAGCCCAGCCTGTAAGAGAGAGATTAGCCAAACCACTCATCAAAATGTCAGCACAAAGTCTCTGTCATGAAATATGCAAGTGATCTATCTCTGGATGTCTGAGCATGTTGTGTCAGATGTGTTATCATTGAAACAGCATTGACTGGAGGGGTGGGAGAAAGAATTCTAACAGCTTGAAGAAAGCAATTGAGGCCTTAGAATCATGCACAGTGCTATTTTAAGAGACATTGGTGCTGCTTTGATCTCCCTTCAAAGAGGCCTTGCCTAGCCACTTTCAGTATGCATCCAATTTCTCCTACCTAAGAGCCCAGGCGCTGCAGTGCACAAGACTGAACCCAGCTGAGGCCATGTTTTGACAGGGGTAACGTATGCAGGCTTGAGTTCTTACTTTTTGTACCTGTGAGTGGGGCTTGATAGGGGGTAACTGCAAGTGCTGCTGCCCACCCACTGTCTTGGGGAAAGGCCATAGCTCAATGGTAGAACATCTGTTTTGCGTGCAAAAGGTCCTAAGCTCAGCCCCCAATAGCATCTCTAGGTAGGGCTGGAAGAGACTCCTTTCCTGAAACCCTAAAGAGCTGCTCCCTGTTAGTTTAGACCAGTGTTTCCCAAACTTGGGTCTCCAACTGTTTTTGGACTACAACTCCCAACATCCTTAGCTAGCAGGACCAGTGGTCAGGGATGATGGCCACTGTAGCTCAAAAACAGCTGGAGACCCAAGTTTGGGCAACACTAGTTTAGACAATAGTGAGCTGGATAGCCCAGTGATCTGATACGGTATAAGGCAGATTCCTATGCTCCAATGTACTAGTAGCAAAAGCTACTAGTTAACCTCAGAAGTGAACCTCAGAGGAACAAAGCAACTATATATATATATATATGTATATGTATATGTATATGTATATGTGTGTATATATATATATATATATATATATATATATATATATAACACTAAACATGCAGGATACAGAGCTAAAGAAATCTTAAGGGGTGGACATTCCACCTGCTAATTCCCCCAGAGATAAAAGGATATCAGATCCACCATCCTTGACATTCGTACATTTCTATTCTTGCTTCATGAAATGCACAACATGCCTTATTGGAGGAGTTCAAAGGCTTCATCGTTTGGCCTGTGTTGGCCAGAGAAAATCTTGTAATGCCTCCGATAGGGAGAGGAGGGCGGCCTTCTAGCCTGTCTGTTCCCTATCCTTTTTGGACTTCAGGCGCTATGACTTTGCTCATCCCAAGAAGCTCCAAGCTGTGGAGGGCTGTGATAAGGCAGCCACAATACCCAGGACACATGCAGTGGAAAACTGTAGAGAGAGATGCTGGAAGACAACTTTCAGACCACGGGATCTTCTTGTCTTCTACATGCTAATAGATTCCAACTCCCATCACCCCCAACCATTGGCTGTGCTGATGGGACTGATGGGAGTTGGAGCCCAACAATTCTGGAGGACCAAAGGTTTGCTGTCCCTGGACTCTGGAAATGATCAAGCGGTGGAGTGACTCCTCTATGAGGAAAGATTTCAGCGTTCCGGACCTTTTAGTTGAGAGAAAAGGCGAGTAAGAAGCAACACGAGAGAAGTTTATACAACTATGCATGGCATGGAGAAAGTGGGCAGCGAAAAGTCCCTTCTCATGA